AGGGGCACGAGTTTGGCCAAGCAACAGAGCTGGTGGCACTGTTTTGGTGTGCGTATTCCACAAAACCACCAACAAAGACATATATATGTGATTAAAAAAAGAGGAAGATCTTCTGCCTCTCTTGAAGGACAGTTTCTGCAGCGATACAATATTCCCTACCACCATGCCAAGCATTGCCAAATTGCTCACTCAGGGCAACCACCCAGACTTCCAAACATCATCCCATATCCGAAGGTTTGAGGATCTCATCCTCAAAGGCCTTGTGCCAGGTTTGGGATGCTGGCACAGGCCACACTGACGTAAGTTCCTTCTGGAAGTGCTCTCCTGCATGGAGTCCAGCTCAGCTCCACTGCCATCCTGCCCTTCCGCTGGGGCAGCAGCTCCTCCAAAGCAAAAGCAGCAAGAGGAACTGCTCTAGGAGCTGGTCTGCTCATGGAGGGGCTCATGCAACAGGTCTCCTACGGCTCTCGGGTAGGAGATGGCACTCTAGGATTGGCAGGGGTGAAGATAAGTGTGCCAGCAAAATCAGGTGACAAACCTGAAGCCTCCCATCCCATCCTATCCCATCCCATCCCATTAATTAAAAAATCCACCTTAGCACATCTCACAAAGAAGGCCTGTTTAAGAACACATCACTTTTGTTTCGTGCTGAGCAGAAGTAGCTTTGGAAAATGGCAAAACCTATTCACGATGTTTACAGTAAAATCAAACACACCTTCCCACAGCTACAGAGCTAATAACACGGAATCGCTTTTTCTCCTTGAAGCAGAAAAAAAAAAGAACAGTTGCTGAAGCAGCGTCACGAGGGGCTCCATAACAAGCACATCTTGGCACTCTGTGGACAGCTCAGGGCAGCCCTGCGCTCCTCGTACTGCTCCTGACAGCTACACTTTCCTTGGCTGCCGCCAGCTAACAGGACAGGAGGATTTTGCTGCCTCTTTCCAGATGCTAATTTTGCTTGGAGGAGGGGGAGGCATTCTGCATAATTCCAAATAACTCTTCACATGACATTAAACCTGAGCGGCTGCGCTCTCACTTGCACCTGGCATGCAGGCAGGGGCCACCGTTTTGCACCCCAGAGCTCTGCTGCTACTTGGGCTCCCTGTGTTGGCTTCTGAGTGCCTGGGAGCCTGCGGCGCTGCATCGGAAAAGGAAAGGGAAAATTTATTTAAAAAGGAGCCAAGAAATTTCAAAATTTCATCAATGAAATCTACCTATACCGATTATATTTCAACGTTGCTCAGAAATGAGATCCTGGACAGGAAAAAAAAAAAAAAAGCCAAATTTATCCCATGTGTTTTTTGGGAACAGAGATGAGAGATGTTTCTCAGTACTGTGGTTTTGCTTTTAAACTGTCTAGGTAACAGTGAATGTAAGAAGATAAACCCGAGCCTGCTCAGAGATTGCACTGTACCTAAAAAAGGAGCTAACTACACAAACCAAAGGTCCAAAGGTATAATCAGGCCTGTTATCAGCCAAGGTTTAACTTGGAAAACTATCAAGACTGGCTTTAGTTCAGGCAGAGGAGGCATCCACCGCTTTCCTTGCAGCACAGAAAAAGCCAAAATTAACTCCAAACATCTTAAACACAGATCTCAAAAGGGAGTAACTGATGCTATGCTGTGAAACTAAAATAGTCAAAGCATATTTATATGCTCTTAAAATAGTCTGCAGTGCTTCCCATTCCCTTCTTGAGGAACCCGGCACATCTAAATAGAAAATTTGCCCCGTTAGGTTCCTGGAGGCTGCAGCCACTGGCAGAGGGCGCAGGGGAAGGAGAAGGGCAGGAGCGGCCGCTGTTTCCCTGCCCTCTGCCAGGCCAGGGCTGACACGCAAGGCCCGGTTTAGCTAATCCTGGGACAAGTCCTGGGGCATTCGGTGGGGTTTTCTACTTGTTTTTTGGAGGTGAGAAGGAAAAATGCAGATTTAAGATTATAATGCACTGACAGGATCTCTGCAGCAAATACTAGAAAACACCACAGGAGCAGTGATTTAAGAAAACCTCCAGAAAGCCTTGGTATTTTCAGTTGTTCAAAACACAGGCAGTGCTGGCAGACACTTTGGACTCCCTCCTGCAAGTAACTCTCTGCGTGCAAGTAACCACTCGTAAGCCCCAGGAAACTATTTATGAATTTAGAGATTTACAGGCCTGAGTGCTTCGCATGACTTCTGGGGAGGCGCAAGTCAGAGCTAGCCCTGCCTTTCACGTATCCGTGCTCCTCGACTCCAGGTGCCGGCAGCACCGCGGGGCTCCCGGGACGCCTGCGCGGATGCTGCGCTGCCCGCAGCCGCCTCAAGCTGCGCAGGGGAGACGGGATGAGCCCTGCCGAGCGGCAAAGCTTCCCGGCCTCGGGACCGCCCAGTGAGCGGCTCATCGGGCTCTGCGCCGCGAGCCACGCGCGGGCGCGAGGTAAGAACCGAGCCTCCCACAACATTGCTCTGCATGGGACGTGCACTAACGCAAGAGACTTCATCCAATGATGTTGGTACATCTGACACATTTAATCAGAAGCATAAACAATCTAGACATTGAAATACAAACGTTTTGGTTTTTTTTTCCTTAAAATCAGTGTTCCATATTTTTTTATTTTAAAAATTCAGGAATGTGATACACAATACAATTAGCTCCCCACCACTGCAGTGTTCACTTACATGAGATTCACTAGTTTCATGCTTTGTGTAAAAGAAAAAAGAAAAGACAGATCGCGCAGTAATTCCAATGCTCCCAGCACTCTGGAACCATGATCTTCAGAGCAAATCCAGTCCGTGCAATCACAGGAAAGGGTAAAGAAAATCAAGCTACATGGCAAGTTTGCAGGCTACAGTTGCACCCAGTACAGCCAAACACACATACACACACACACGTGCGCATGCAGTGTCCCTGTTGCTGTACAGCCCCCACCTGCACCTGACGCTGTATCCGGCAAAGAGGCCGCGCGACTCCCCGTTCCTCCCTGCTACCGTCATTATTGTCACATCTGCACCCCATCCTGGCAACAAAAATAACGTGGGGGGAGCTTTTTGTCTTTTACGCCAGCCATTGCCTGCAATGGACACAGTAATAGAAAAATACGATTTATGGCAGAAAAAAAACCCGCAACGATTAAATAGTTACAATGGAATTAGTGGCTACAATTCCATCTACTCAGATGCGTTTACTGTTAACCCACAGCGGCAACTGTCAAGACTTAACAGTTGTTCTCTTTATAAAAGCAACAGGGGAGAAGCAAGCCAGGCTTGTCAGTGCTACTATGGTTTGTCTTGCTCTTTTTTTTTTTTTGGTTTTGCTTTTTCTTTAATAAACTAAAGAGCAGTAGTTGTACGACGCATTAGTGATATACAGCAGGGCCTAAACAATTCATACTCATAATGACAGACCAATTTCAAACAAGTGAGCAAAGTAATTAGTGCAAGTTTACCATAAAAAGCAAAGATACGCATTTCAAAACAAAAACAAAAAAAAAAGACTGTTAATTTCAAAACTTACTTGGTTAATACTTTGTAGTATACTAGCAGTGGTAGCATATCTTGCAGAAGTAGCCTCATACAAGTTCTCATTTAACAGTCAACTCTAGATCATATATAGGTAACAGGAGACTTATGATAATCCAGACAAAAAAAAAGTACATATAAATACTATATTAACACATTTAAATTAGTTGATGAGACTATACAAGACACATAAACATGGAGGAGGGGCAGGGGGACGAGGCGCGCGAAACAGCAGCACGGCGAGCGTGCTCGAGGCTCGCGCAGCCGCACGCGGGGCACACGGCGCACCGAACGCACAACCCTGCTAAAGCCACCCATGGATAATCCGGAGTTGACTGCGGGGCTCTGTGTAGAAGCTGGGCGAGAGGCCGGGAGAGCCCGCGCGGCCGGGCGCCACGAGCGGCACGCGACGCTGAGCTACGCAGGAGCGGTTATCACGCGAGGCGCGTTTCAGAAATGCAACTACGCACTGGCCTCGAGGCAAAGCTACATTCCCTTCACTAAAAAAGAAGAAACATTCTTTAAAAAAAAATCTACATTTAAATACTGTTAAAAACCTGAAAACCACAGCATCAAGAATCGGATAAGGCCAAAACTGTCCTCAGTTCCCTCTGTTGTGCCTAGGTATTGCAATGTATTTGCAGAAGGAGTCAACACTAAGCGGTTTAATATTTTACACTCCTTCCAGTGCCTTCCAGTAACAGGTCTCAGAGCTCCTAACACCCGAGCTAAGCCTCACAACAGCCCTGTGAGGTAGGTATTATCCCCATGTGAAGACAGGGAAACCGAGGCAGAGTGTTTGTCTGACATGTCCATACAGCAAGCAGTGGAAGATCCGAGTCGTTCTCCAGTTTTGAGCGGAGAAGGAATCGATGGATTACAAGGCGCTCTTTCCTATATAAATCGAAGGTGGGTCTGAAGGGTCAGGGAGTTTACTAGAGACTGAAGTTTTAGATTCCTTGTTTATTTTATCTTCAACTCTCCGCCAGCTTTGCAGAGTCCATAGATCAGCTTCTCCCCTGGGAAGGTGCAAGGTAGCAGCACACTGTAACAGCTTCATTAGAGCCAGTTGTCAATTAACTGAGTTAACATTTTAAACCATAGACTTAGCTACTAAGTGAAATCACGTGATACACATCTTAAAGTGCAAAAATACCATGAACAAAATCCTTCCCCCAGACTCCCTTGGAAACTACGGGAGCTTTCTGCAGCTGCCAGCCGGGCCAGGATTCCTGCCGCTGCAAGTGCTTACGGATACACCGAGCTAGAGGCAACGGCAGCACCGAGCGTCTTTCCAGGGAAGCAACAGCTTGTGCTTTTGAGAAGCACAAGTGACACTGTCAGTGCTCAAGGGACTTTACTCCTGACAGAGCTCTTATGGACATTACTGAGATTAAAAAAAAATAATAAAATCGATTAGTCAGCTGAGCTTCTGGTAAAACTGAAGCTCCAACTCTTCATTCATAGCACTGAGAGTCAAGGATCCTTTAAACTTCCATTTTTTTTTGTGATGAGACACCCAATTTGCATACAAGGAAGAACACCAGAAAGTCCATAAAATATTAAAGTATGTGTTAGTTTATCTGCCAGCCTCACATCCTGATCACAGAGCAGAATACAGCAACTTGAACTTCCATTTTGATAGAAAAAACCCTTTTCACAGCTGCTGTTTTCATAGGAGCTTGATTTTAAATACCTTACTACCTTACCATAATAGGAGGGGGACAGTTGCTAACAATCACATGATGTTTTCTTCAAAATATGCTATATGATAAATTCATTAGAAAAGCCTTCACATTTTTATTATATAGGCGTAAGAAAAAATATGTGAAACTGACAAAGTGGTTTCCAGTTTTAAGTAGTTATAGCTTTAAAAATGTTCTACAAACTTTGGTTTCTTTAGGGCTTCTAAATAAACAATATATTAAAATATCTACAAATCAAATATTAAAGGAAAAAGCAGGTCCAAGAAATCTGTAACACATGTTGAGTTCCTATAGACTTATCCCTCAAATATATTTTCACTGGAAAGAAATATTTTAATTTGAAGTACAACAAAAAGCGTCTCAGCTGAAATGTTGAAACTGGTTTTCTGAAGTTGTTACAGCATGGTGCACTTTCTGCCTGTCTCAGTACAAAGTCAACACAAACACATTGTATCATGACAGTGACAGTATGTTCTTTAAAACGAGCATTCTAGATTTAGCAAGATGACAAGAACAAGGACTTCAGCAATTACACTACTTGGCAAAATTGCATCTCAAACGTCTGTCCCTTCCTCTTGCAATAGAGCTGCTGTCAAAGTCACCGACACTCAGGTAGCACCATTCCAGGAGTTACAGAGATGATTCAAACTGCTCGTTCTGATCAGTGTTTGCCTCCAGCCTAACTGAAGGAATGCTCTCTGATTTAGTCCTTCTAGTTTTGTTGTGCGGAAATTCAATGACAACTTCCGAACAAGAAATACTAAGTGACGAGGATTTTTCTGTCTTCTTTCCAGTATTATCTTCTGCTGTTCCGCAACATTGCTTCAAAGCACACTGAGTCCTGCAAGGTAACTCGCATTTCCCTCTCCCTGATTCAGAGCCAACACTGGCAAACTCGGGCTGAATGGTAGTTGCATGAATCCCTTCATCATGAAAGATCTCTTTTATGCGTTTTGCCACCATCATGTACGTGGAAGGGTCAGGACATTTTATGTGAGCAGTGCCAATGATCCTACTGCCTGCTAGTTGCCAAATGTGTAACTCATGGACTGCTTCAACTCCTTCGAGGGTGCGTAATTTTGAGTTCAAAGAATGAACATCTATTTGTTTGGGAACAGTCTGCAGAAGGATAAGGGCTGACTCCCTTAGTAGCGGGTACGTTGTGTAAAGGAGTATACAAACCATTATCAAACAAAGGACAGGATCTAAATATAGCAACCAGCACGGGCCAGCCACCATAACGCTCTCTTGCTCAGTCTGGTTAGTTTTGCCAAGTGGTTGGAATAAAGTAGCATTTTCCATGCAATGATTATTGACACATGGATTAATGCAGGGCCCATCTCTGGGGCATGGATTCCACAAACCATAAAAGAGCAAGGCATTCACCACCACAATGACCGAGCCCAAGGCATCGCCAAACACATGCAGAAAAACTCCACGCATGTTAAGCTGCGCGCTGGAGTCTTCTTCAACCTCCTCTACATCCAGGGAGTAATGACCAGCGTTCCCATTAACTTGTAGGTCAGTCACGTCGTCTTTCAAATCCCCTGACAAGAAAGCAGGAAAACAATTAGACAGCACTACACAATATTACTGCAAATCCATATAAAACAATAACTGACATACGTTTGTCATATTCCCTACAAAACTAGAAAACAAGCAAATTGCCCCCTAACAAATACCCTAGTTGCGAAACATTCAGCTGACCCAATAAATTATCTAAATATTTTAGAGGGCAACTGTTTCTATGGGGGTGCTTAAAAATGTATAGCTGCAAAGTAGAAAGATGAATGCATTTGAATTTATTTTACTGAAAGCTGGCTTCACATTTTCCAGTTGTCTAAGCATTCGATTACTTGCTGTTCATTCCTTAAACAAAATACAGAATTATAGAGCTTATAAAAGCTGGCTAGGTAGCTAAGTAACTTACGATGCATTTGCTCCTTCTTTTGAAAAGCCATAAGGATAATCATGCTGCTAAAAATCACTCATGAACTATAGTCGCACATTTACATTTTATATTAAAATGTACACAGCCAGAAGGTCAAAAGCTGCATGGATTCTACTTCACAGTCACTTCTCTTCTGGTCTAGAGGCTCATTTTCAAAAGGCTTCTGAATTCATGTATAAGGAAGATTTTTCTGAGATGGAGCACAGAGCCAGCAGAATTGATACACCAAGCTGAGGTTTTAGGTCTAAAACGCAAGGTTTATCAGCAGCATCGACTGCAGGACAGCACGAGTCTGAAATACAGTACAATCTCTGAAGTTATCAAAGGCCACAAACTAGTGCTCTTTACATATCAGAACACACAGTTATTTTTAATACTTATTTTAAAACACTTTTAAGTGACATATTGATGCTGATGTCCAAAACCAGGTGTCATGAGCCATGTAATGCACAAACCAATATTTTAGTACCCTCCTTTGTCAAAAGTTAGACACTCTATCACATTTAACTAGTTATAAAGGAATAAACACACACATCACTACAAAGAGGCACTGTCAAACTTTCCAAGCTGAAGTATTTTTCCAAGCTTAGCACCTGAAAGCATTTTACACAATTAACCTTCAGCTTTTCTTCAGAAAACTTGCAGAGTTGAAGAAATCTAATGGGAATTAGCTACCGGCTACATGGACTCGTTACTGCAGCCGGGGTTATCTGGTTTAGAGCTCTGTAAACATTAACATGTTAGTATGACCTATAGCTTTTGCCACTCGCTATCATGGCTGTGGTTCTGTAATCATAGAAGTGTCTTAAAGTTATTTCTTTTATGAAGAGGGGGGTGGGCTTCTAACTAAGAAATCAGAATGAGTCATGTCCAAGACCAGGATTCACAACGCTGTATACATTAAAGCTCCAGCTAAATTTTCCATACAACTGCTCAAAGTTAGGGAACACGGAAAAGAGAAGTCTCTCACACAACAAGGATAAAGATGACATTCCCTGTCACACTGCATTGTACCAAGTACTTGGATCAAAGGAGATTCAGAAAGTCAGTAGACCCATCCAAAAGGAGAGGGTGATAGGGAACACAACTCCAGGGAGCTCTTGAGATTTTTTTGTAACGGCAACTGGTTAAAATCTGTCAATTTGAAATATGCCCGATTTGAATTTACTACAATTTTATAAAAAATATGTATTTTATATTTTAAATAAAGTGTAGGTATAAATATTAGTTGCACAGTACTACCCCCAGGCTATTGCCACAGTCCCACTTCAACCCCAAGAGTATATAGATCCTACCTCCTGCTTGTAATTCCCAATGTAATTCCTACCACACCACTGTCCATCCTCTCTCCAGTCTTCACTTAAGACACCTTACAGCTCCTTTCAAGTCTTCAAGCACCATTAATTGTAATATTTCCATAGGTTAGCTATGGATAACTCAATCCATTACATAACCATGACAAGGCATAGAGGACATACACACATATTTGAAAATTTCACCTATGATTAAAATTAAGCCCTATTACATACTAAATACCCACAACAAGTTGTCCTTTACTGCCAGAGAGGTATCCATGAGAAACTCCAGCAAAGTTAGCTGAAAACAATGTGTATTTTAATGCATACTAAAATTAAATCTTTTAAACAGAGAACTAGTCAAAAATTCAGCTAAAAACCCAACTCCAGGTTCACTACACAAGGACAATGCACAAGTTTAGATATCAATTAGATTAATGGCAAAACGAATTCTATATTGTTTGAAACTAATCATTAGGATACCTATCTTGGAACTGGCACAACACTAAGAGGTTTATTATGCAGTCAAGAAAATGGTGTAGTGTATTCTGAAGAACTTTCCTAGCCTCTTGCAAAACCTCACTTACGAAAAGCAACATGGAGCCAAAATACCAAAGAAAAGAGAGAGGGAGGGAGGGAGAGAAACTGAAAAGTTTCTCAAATGTATAATGGCACCTCCGACCACAGAAATCCTAAAACTGTAGCAAAGTTCATGCTGCACAAGTAAGCCCAGTTTGCTCTAAAACAACCGTCTCCTGATGTCACCATGAGCACAGGGGAGAAACACAGGCACTGCAACCCTTTCCATGCTGTGACTGGGAAGCCACACGATTCCCATGGGGAAATGGTGTGCACATGCTGGTGTGCAGCGCTTGGCTTTGACCCAGTGACTTCAGAATAAACTATCCAGGCCTCTGGAGCCATTAAAAATAATGTAACCACAGAGGAGGCAGTTCGATGAGAGTTAGGGAGATTGTAAGTTTATGTGTCCACGCAAGGGAGTGGGAAGCTGCACGCACTAGGGAGTTCAGACTAATTCAAAGAAGCCATGCCTGCACTTTGCAACCAGCGAGCGCCTCGCTTGGCACTTATTACACTACTTCTGCAGTTCTGATTCACATTCCTAAGGTTTTTCTCCTACTAAGGGGCATATCCTGAAGAAGTGTGGGACTCTCACAATGGAACATACTTCAATCTGCTGCTTCAAAGCAAGAAAATTCTGCAGGTAGCTAACAGCCCACCCAACAAGGAGATCCGGCTGTGGGTCCTAGGTGCTGAGCTACGCTGTTTGATGCACAGCCAGGTCAGAAGGCATTAAGGCAATGTCTTGTGACAGCCCGTGTCACTAAGCAAAAGCAATTGCCATGTGCCGTCTCCGCCAGCACCAACTTTCCCCAGGGCAAACTGCGTTATCCTCAGGCTCCTTCGCGCGCCACCCTAAGACACAGCTTAAGGTGCGCTCTGTGGTGCCAGGAGAAACAGTGCAGAGATGTCTCTATGCAGAGCACTGCTAGCAAAGCTTCTAGTGGCAAGGTGGTCCCCACACAGCCTGTGCCTTGCTTGGGTAAAAGGCCTCTCCTCTCTCCTCGACACCTCTCGGGTGGGATGGGAGAGGGTGGCCGTGCCGCAGAGCTTACCAAGCTTCTCCTGGCTGACGCCGTTGGAGCTGCTGCAGTTCTCCACGAGGGTGCTGGTCTCCTCACGGCGCAGAGCGGCCTCGCCGTCGGCGGGTGGCTGCTCGGG